TTGATAGATTGACGAGCAACAAAATTTCTAACAAATATGATAAGCAAATGACAACTACTGGAAGAAGATTTGTTTTTAAAGTGGTATAACATTTCTAATTATGATTTGTACTGATTTATAATGATAAAAGAAAAATTAAACGGCAATCATTTGATAACTGGTATTCATATTTAACTGAGTTTTTGAATGCCAAATCTAGTTTAAAGATTGGAAATTTTTGCTATGTTTTTACTGGAATAACGTGGACATTTATTTTTACTTTTTTTTTTATCTTTTCTTTTTAGGATGGCTATACAGGAGGACATATCAGATTCAGTTTAGTCGAATTTTCCACCGACGGAAGACTTGGCAATGGAGAATGCTGTAGAAGTGGTATGCACTTACGATAACAATTTTTCTGTATAGTAAAGATGAAAATATACAGTTTTTTTTTTCGGTATTCATAAAAATTGATATGAGTGATTTTTATGTGGCGAAAAGTTTTTTTTTTGTAGATGATTCAGCAACGATCTGTAGATGTAACTTTTATGTGCACATCTGTCTTAGTGTTGGATTTGAAATTAAAAAGTTTTATCGAGATTGTTGGGTTGGTTATCATGGATCGGATATGTTGGCGGTTAATACGCTAACAGAATCTTACAATGTCAGTATACCGTTTACACAATGGCCAACAACAGTAAGTTCTTTCCAAAATGATTTTTTTTCCTTTTCGTTCTTTTTTTTTAACACTGATCTTAGATATGCAAAAAAAAAAAAAAAAATGTGGTAATTTTTTAAAAGAATTATGGGTTTTGGGAATTTTTCTTGGCGTTTTTTTGGGTGTTTTTGTAGAGAATCAGTATAATTTTGGTTAATATTTTTGGCGTTGTTAGATGATGATGAAAAAGGTAAAAGGGCAATAAGTTTGACAAAATTTGTAGAAAAGCAATCATTGGAAGGAAACGGTCAATTATAATTGGTAATTGTTCATCAAGTGCAAAGTTTTGTCTGCTTTTTTTTTTGTTTTGTTTATATAAATACTTTAATAATAACATATGTTAACAAACAATGAACAACCAAAAATACATAGTTCTGTGGTTGGATGACTAGTTTTTTTTGTTTTGTGTGGGGGTCCACAGATGTTCTTTACCTAACATCTCAAAGTTTTGTTGATGAGGAATGGTTTTCATAAAAAAATAACAGAAAACAACGCTTGACATGTATTTTAAGCATTTTTTTTAATACTTCTTTTTTTTTGATACTCTATTTCCCCTTTGGTTCTTTTGTGGCCGCTTTTTTATTCCTTACCAGCAGCAGAACTAAGAGAAGGAAAAAAAAAA